ATATTCTACATATTAGGTCAAGAAAACTGTGAATATTGCTTAATTCAGGGTAAAAAATGTTAAACAACATGGGAAAAACCGACGTTTCCCTCATTAAAGAAGACGCCCGGCAGATACGATTCGACGAGGGACACCTCAGGCTCAGCGGTAGGGGGGGGGGGGGGGGTAAAAAGGGTAGAGTTTGCACATTGTGAATTGGAAAAATTAAAAAAAAATATTGAAATATTGCACATAATATTAATAAATGCTGTTAATAAAACAGTAAATATTGCACATATTAGGTTAAGAAAACAATAAATATTGCACATTGTAGCGTAAGAAATTTTTAAATATTGCTTATTTTAAGGTAGAAAACTGTAAATGTTGCTTAATTCAGGCAAAAAAATGTAAATATTGTACATATTTGTACATAAAACTGTAAATATTGCTTAATTCATGGTAAAAAATGTATATATTGTACATATTAGGTAAAGAAAACTGTGGATATTGCTTAATTAAGGCTAAAAAATGTAAATATTGTACATATTAGGTAAAGAAAACTGTAAATATTGCACATATTAGGTAAAGAAAACTGAAAATATTGCTTAATTCAGGGTAAAAAATGTAAATATTGTACATATTAGGTAAAAAAAACAGTAAATATTGCACATTGTAGGGTAAGAAAACTTTAAATATAGTTTTTTTTTTAAGGTAAAAAATGTAAATATTGTACATATTGGTTAAAGAAAACTGTAAATATTGCTTTTTTTTAGGGTAGGGGCGGTAGGAGGCCGGTTTACTGTCACATAGCCCTGAAATGTTTCTTTTTGCCCACCTCCCACAGACCGCTCCTACCTCTCTCTGGACTGGGAGCCCGAGGTAAAGAAGAAGTACTTTGACGAGGCGGTGGTGGAGGTAAGGCGGCCATTAGCTCAGATGGGGGGGGGTTACACACTAGGGGTGGGACGGTTCACAAAACCCACGTTTCGGTTCGATTCACGGTTTCGTGGTCACGGTTTTCGGTTCGGTTCGGTATATGTTGATTGTTAGGAAAATCTATTATGTCTTGTATAGTCAGGTTAAAACTGAAAGAAAAAAGCAGTCTGACATTTGATCCATTATTGTGACAGTCTTAGGTTAAAAGTAGGTGAGATTCTGGCATTGCCAGAGAGGAAACGGTGCTAATTCCAACATGTGCTTCCCTCTAAATGCAAAGTGTTCCCATACAGCAGACCTAGAAACTCACTGACTGCCAGCCATTTTCAGAACAGAGAGTCGCTCACTGCCAGAGTTTTTTGAGCATTTTGACTGATGTTTCAAGAGCCACAGAATAGTTTGTGCTATGACTATATACACACCGAACACACTAAAAGAAAGAGTAGACTCTCTTCTTTCATCAGGAAAAAAAATGTGTTTCTACCTTATTCCGTTCTTCCTCGACGTGCGTCTCACCGGCGACATGTTCTCTCATAGCGAACCGTTAGCTTTTTCTTATTTGGCTACAGTCTATGCTCATCTCCCATCAAAAGTGGCACTGCCACCTAGAGGGTCAATTTGTTACTACATACTCTGTCTAGAAGCCTGATATTTACGGACAAGCTTTAGCAGATCGTCCCCCAGCCACTCTCGTTGAAAAACATAAAAGACGTCTATAGACGTCTTTGGCAGCCAATGAGTTAACTGCTGTTGGCGCGTCTGATTTTTATCGGCTACGCTGCTTCGCTTCTTCTTCTTGTTTCCTACTGGTGGTTGGCTTTGGGCGCAGTTGCGCCCCCTTCTGGTCTGGAGTGTAAACGCTTCCCTCTGAGAAAAAGAAGCAGCAGGAACCGAACGCAACACACGCAAACCGAACCGAGACAGTCCAACCCAACGGTTCAGACGGTTTTCAGAAACCGTCCCATCCCTA